CCTCCTGGCTTCATCTGTCAGGTTCTCTATAGGAGGTACAGGCCACAATAGAGGATCTCCCCTTCCAGGGATCTAAGCTGTTTATGGACACAACCGATGCATTCCTCCATTTGCTCAAGGATTCCAGAACAATGTTGAAAACCCTTGGGATCCATGTGCATGCAGCAAAGCACAAATAAAACAGATACTTTAATCAGAGATACAAATCCTCTCCTTTCAATCAGCCTCAGAGGCACTTTGACAACAGGAGGAGACAACATCAAACCAAATGCAGATAGACCGTGGACCAGTCAGCCACGTCTCAGCCATCTACCTCCAGGCAAACATTTTGAAGGTCAAGTCGAGAGTCCGATAACACCTCTTTGCATGGAAAACCCCAGGCCTACCTACTTTTCTGCCAACGTCTCCTACCCTTCTTCCACCAATGATCAGTCATCATGACCGACAAGTGGGTGCCAGAAGTCATAAGAGCAGGATACTGTGTTCCTTTTACCAATATTCCTTCCACCTACCCTCTCTCCCAGTTCCTCTTCAGGGATCCATCTCACGAGAGCGTTCTACTCCATGAGATCAACCATCTTCTCCACCTTTGTGCCACAGAACTGGTACCTCAGTTCCTCCTGCTATTTCCTCACAACAAAAAACTCAGGAAGCAATTCTCGATTTCAGGAAACTCAACCTCCACATTCAGTACTTCAAGATGGTGACTTTAGATACCATAATACCAGCCCTAACTGAAGGGGAATAGCTATCGACGCTCGACCTCCAGGACATTTATTTTCACGTATCCATGCATCCTGCGCATCGCAAATACCTGAGGTTTACACTGGGCACAGCACATTTCCAATACACAGTGCTGCCCTTTGGACTTGCCACAGCCCCAAGGGTCTTCTCAAAACTCACACAGTAGTGGTAGCCCACCTCTGTGACCGAGGCCTACCTATATTCCCCTACCTTGATGACTGCCTCATCAGAATGCCCACCTGCCAGAAGGCCCTCAAGGCAGTCTCCCAGGCCATGTCCTTATTCCAGACTCTGGGACTCCAAATCAACCTAGCCAAATGCAAGCTCCAACCAGCTCAGACCATAGAGTTTATAGGAGCCTATCTCACTGCACCCAGGCAACGGCCTCTCTCTCGTACCACCGCTTTCAAATGATCAAGCACCTCACTGAAGTGCTGCAATCCAGCCCTCAAGTTCCTGTAAGAACTTGCCCACAGCTTCTAGGTCACATAGCAGCGGCCACAGCAGTGGTGTCACACACCAGACTGCATATGAGACTGATGCAGCAATGGCTCAGAACGGTGTACAGAACCCATTACACCAGTATAAGCAAGCTGATATCGCTCCCATACAGGATCAAGAGCTCATTACAGTGATGGGCAGATCAAAAAAATGTGCGTGCTGGGGTACCCTTCCGCAGGAAGTCCCCTGACGATTGCAATCATAATGGACGCTTCCCTCTTAGGGTGGGAAGTGCATTCAGCCCCGCTCACAGTCCAAGGATGATGGCAGTCCCATAAGCACTCCTTCCACATCAATGTGTTGGAACGCAGGGCTGTACGGTTTGCCTGCTAGAACTTACTGCAACAGATACAGGGCAACACAGTACAAATTTTTATGGACAATCAAACCACAATGTACTACATAAACAGGCAAGTGGGAGCCAGATCCTTCCACCTATGCAAAGGTTCACAGATCACAATGTCCGCATAAAAGCTTCTTATCTACTGGGCAAGGACAATATTACGGCAGACTGAATGGGAATTGGACGATGGCATACTCCACATGATTTTCTCACACTGGGGATTCCCAAAGATCGACTTGTTTGCAACTTCTTCGAACAAATACTGTTCTCGTGTGGGCATTGGACTACACTCTCTGGGGGACGCATTTACAATATCTTGGAATGCACCCCTCCTCTATGCATTCCAGCCAACCCTACTTCACCAAGTGGTCTACAAAATAAGTGTGGGGACTGCATCAGTAATTCTCATTGCTCCAGCGTGGCCTTATCAGACATGGTATACTTACCTACTTCACGTCTCCATGGCAGCTTCCGATAGTCTCTCATCTCCTGACTCAGCAACAGGGTCTCGTCCAGCACCCTTCTCCCCACATTCTTCGCCTCTGAGCTTGGCTCCTCACTGGTTCTCCTCAATAGAATCAACATTTATGGATCAGGTCAGACAGATCTTAATAAGTCACAACGAGAAAATCTTACGCATATAAGTGACGAAGATTCTCTTCCTGGGTGAACCAGAGATTGGCAGATCCATTCACAATTCCTCTGGCTGATATACTAGAGTACCTCTTACATCTAAAACATACGGGCTTTTCCCTTAACTCGTTAAAGGTACTGTTATCAGCAAAGGCACACTAGTAAACAATTTAGACTGGGGCCTACTGACTAAGTGGTAAATGCCTTTGTCCCAGAAGTAGATCCGGCCTGGAATCCACTGTATCTGTCACCAGCGGATCTCTCAGATGTTAATAAACACAGACTCTGATTGTAAGTTTGAAAAATCACTAAACTGTATTGTATACAACAGATAATAAAGCACAGAACACAACACTTAAAAGAATAACCAACCCCTCACCCTCTGAAAGTAAAAGAAAAGACAGAGATAATAATAAGTGATGGAAATACTCAGTCTGTCAGAGGCAGCTGAAGTTCAGGACCTACGACCCCTTCAGCTGCAATAGCTGTCGGGAGGAACACTGAAGCGTCCTCTGTGAAGATGAGGCATCCGATGGTGTTGGCCTCTGCTTGCACAGCTGAGTGGTGGCACGAGTGGTTTAACTGGAGATCAGGAGGGCTTTTGCCACAGCTGACGATAACGGCTCTGTGTGATCTCAGGTGATCCCAGTGGTGTTGGTCGGGAACACAGACAGGTAGCTAAGGCTCACTAACTGGGCTTTTACCACAGCGGGGGCCAGAGCACCCTGAGGACGGCAGGCAGGCGGGGAACCGGACAGGATAAGTTGGATGGGGCCTTCGCCACAGTCACCTCTGCGTCTCGACTCCTCCTTCTCCAGATGGTAGGGGAAAACTGCCGACCAGAGCTCCGCAAGCTTTGATGCTTTATAGAAGTCAAGGCAGAACTTCTCTTGGTCTCGTGTGCAAAGCAGGGCGTGGTGCATTGTGCAGAGGTGTGGTGCTGGGTGCAGAGACAGGTGCCGTGTGCAAAATGGTGTTTTGGCGGCAAAAGTCCTTACAGTCTGTTGGATTCCATTTTGAAAGTCCCAGCATGCACCTGAACTCCATTTTGAATGTCCGTCGGTCTTCCACTGTTAAATCCCTATTAACAGCAGGGTTTCTATGGAGCCACCCTTTTTTTTGGTCTTGTGTGCAAAGCAGGGCATGGTGCAGTGTGCAGAGGTGTGGTGCGGGGTGCAGAGACAGGTGCCGTGTGCAAAATGGAGTTTTGGTGGCAAAAGTCTTTACAGTCTGTTGGATTCCATTTTGAAAGTCCCAGCATGCACCTGAACTCCATTTTGAATGTCCGTCGGTCTTCCACTGTTAAATCCCTCTTAACAGTACACTTCACAGCCATAACCGCATTTTACCAACCCGTCGAGGACAAATCAGTCTTTGCTCCACCTCACAACTAAATGATTCCTAAAGGGCATCCAGAACACGTTTCTGCCTCTTAAAATACAAGTCCCAGCCTGGGATCTAAAAATGTACTACGAGCCCTAAACCATACACCATTCGAGCCTATGGCCACCATTAGAGTATTTCAATGAAAGTTGCTACATTAGTTTCACTCACCTCAACCAGAAGAATAAGTGAAATTGGGGTACTGATGCCCAACCCATCCTTTACCATTTTTCATAAGGACAGGATGGTCCTCCAACCACATTCAAAGTTCTTACCAAAAATTCTTACCTGCTGGCACTGCAACGAACCGCTGGTGCTACCTGTCTTCTGCCCAAAGCCTCATGCCACCACCAAGGAAGCTAAATGGCACACGGTTGATTTGCGCCACACAATTGCCTTTTATCTAGAGAGGACAAAGGCAATTCATAAAACTAAACAGACTTTTCATCTCCATCACTAAAAGGTCCTTGGGCACGTAAATCTTGACACAAAGACTTTCCAAGAGGATTGTAGACTGCATTTGCCTGGCTTACCCGTTTAACCAGCAGCTTCCACTGCAATTGCAAGCACATTCTATAAGGGCCATGCAACCTCTGTGGCCTACCTTAGCAGCATTAATCTGATGGACATTTGCAGAGCTACAACATGGTCTTCTGAACACACTTTCACCAGCCATTACGCCTTGGACACTTACCTGAAATGGGGCACGGAATTTGGTCTCACAGTCCTCACCAAGGCCCAACATGATTATTAACCGAAGCAGCCATCTCTTAATGTGGGTACTGCTGTATAGACACTTACGGTGGAGCACCCACAGGGATACTCCTCGAAGAAGAGAAGGTTACTCACTTTGTGCAGTAATGTAGGTTCTTTGAGATGGTTGTCCCTGTGGGTGCTCCACCACGCGCCCTTCCTCTCCTCTGCTTCGGAGTTTTTGTTGTTGTCCTTCTGGGACAGAGAAGGGATGGTTGCCACAGATACGTGGTAGCAGCATCGCACATGCCATCTGCCTCGCATGCACAGGATACTGGAGGGCGCTGCTACTGTAAATCTCTGTCTAGATGTGCAATGTTGCCGCAAGACCTAAGGTGGAGCACATAACTTGGAGCACCCACAGGGGTAAACATCTAGAAGAACATCCATTACTGCGCGAAGTGAGTAATCTTTTCTTCTCCATGTACAGGCGACCCCCGACTTATGACCCCCAACATTTATGACCTTTTTTCATGCGAGATAGCTCCTAAAAAACCCCCGTTTACATCCGCAGCTCACATTTACGACGGCGTATGACGCAAACTCCATGTGTCATCACAAAACAGGAAACGCACAAGGTCAGTCAGACTTGCCAGTCTGCAGCTGCTGCTTAAATTGAGCACCTCTCTGCCACATTGGTTCACCATGTCTGAGAAAAGGAAAAGTGATGCAGAGAGTGGAAAATCAACCAAGAAGCCCGGGAAAGCCCGTACACTTTGGAAATTAAACATGAAATGTTGAAGCTTCACAATACAAACATGAAATTATATGAACTAGGTAATTGAGTTGTCTCGTTCAAATGTGAGTATGATTTTGAAGGACAAGGCTAAATATCTAAAGGAAGTGAAGAATGCAAGGCCAATGCAAACAACACTGATTAGGAAACGTGATAGGCTCATTCCTGAGATGGAAAAACTTTTAATTTTGTGGATAAATGATCAGACGTACTTCCATATGTCTCTCAATCAAGCCATGATTTTGACTAAGGCTAAAAGTCTCTTGAGGCACTGAAGAATGAACATGGTGAAACATCCAAGATCGATTCTTTCAGTGCTAGCAAGTATTGGTTTGACCGCTTTAGGAAGAGAGCTGGTTGGCATAACATTTGAGTCCAGGGAGAAGCAGCCATGCCAACACAGAAGCAGCAAAGGATTTTCCACAGAAACTAGCCAAAATTATCAAAGAGGAAGGCTATTCTCATCAGGTGTTCAGTGTCGACGAAACTGGACTTTATTAGAAGAAAATGCCATCAAGGACTTCTATCACAAAGGAAGAAAAGTCAATGCCTGGATTCAAAGCAGCTAAAGATCGACTGACTTTGTTGTTGGGGGCTAATGCTGCAGGGGACTGCACATTGAAACCGATGCTTGTCTTCTGTGCTGAGAACCCAAGGGCGCTTAAGTGTTTGGTGAAGGGAACCGTTCCAGTCATTTGGAAATAGAATTCCAAATTTTGGGTGACTGCATCTCTTCTTGAAGATTGGTTCAGCTATAATTTTGTTCCTGAGGTCCAAAAATATTGTGCTGAAAATGACCTTCCATTTAAAGCACTACTCATTTTGGACAATGCTCCAGGCCATCCCAGAATTTTTCAACATGCGAATCTGAACATCAAGATTATTTTCTTGCCCCCTAACATGACTGCATTGCTTCAACCAATGGACTAGAGGGTCATCAGTTCGTTCAAGGCTTATTATCTTGGAGGAACTTTCAAGAGGCTGGTAGAAGCAGTTGACAAAGAAAGTGGACCAACAATCAATGAATTCTGGAAGTCTTTCAGTGTTTTGGATACCGTGAAAATCATTAAAGAAGCCTGGAAAGTAGTCACCGAATCCAACCTCAGGGGAGTTGGGAAGAAACTCTGCCCTGAATTTGTTCAGGATGTTGAGGATTTTCAAGATCCTTTAGCAGAAGTCACTGGATCTGTGGTTAAGATGGCAAATTGTCTGGATCTCAAAGTCTCTCCTGAAGACGTGACTGAGTTGTTGGATTCTCATGCTCAGGAGCTCACCAATGAAGATCTTTTGGAAATCGAAGAACAAAGGATCATTGAAGAACAGGTTACTGTTGAGACTCCCTCTCCCCCAGCATTTACCATTCAAAGACTTTTGGAGGCATTCAAGGGTCTCAAGTCAGCGCTGAACAATTTCGAGACAATTATCCTAATTTTGAACACAGTTTGAAGGTTATTTCAACAATTAAGAATGCTTACGCTTGCTACAAGGACATTTTCTATGTAAAGAAGAAAGCATCTTCAGTCGAAACCTATTAGATTCCTATTTTAAGACGCCTCAATCAGTCCAGTCCACTGAGAAAAGCCTCCCAGAAACTAACTTCATCTCAACAAGCTCCCCCAATCTAGCCCTCCTCCTCTTCCAAGATTGGATTTTGACCATCCAGATGACCCTGATGCAGTCCCAGTCTCCTCCCCTTCTGCTTTTCTCCAATAACCATCTCCCTCCCCAGATGAAGAAGATGAAGGTATTTTCTGTGCTTTATTTTCATATTGAATGTTTGTTTTAAGTTAATAAATGTTTGTAAAGGCATCTATTAGCATTTTATTTACTTTTCCTCCATTTCCGTAGTCAATTTTGGTATTTTTAGGGTACGAAATGGGTTTCTGGGAACAGAACCGCCATTTAAAACATTGCGCCTATGGGAAATAAGCATTCAACTAACGAGGGTTCCTCAGGAACCAATAACGTCGTAGGTGCAGGGGTTGCCTGTACACAGGTATAGCCTGTGAGCTAGTCACTTGCAGCTTCATCTTTGCAAAGGGCTGGTGACAGACCTTGCTGGGCCCTGGGCAAGGGTGGAGGTTGTCCTTGGGCCTTCCCCTCCCCTGAAAGGGCAGGACCTCAGGCAGAAGGGAGGGAGCTAGGGTCTAGCCTCCCCCATCCATCCCTCAGTGGCACCCAGGCTCCTACAGTGATTCAAAGGGCCCGAGGCTCCATCCACGGCTGCTTTTAAATGGATGGGCCCTGGGGCAACCCCTTTTGCTCCCCTCTTCGCTAATGCTAAGCAAAATGGAAGGGCAGGAGCACTTGGAGTAACGCAGCTCTTGGCGGGGGGTGGAGAAGAGATCAGCGCCGAGGAAGGGGTTGTGGGTAGGTGTGGGGTAGCCCAGCAAGGGCTTGTGAGCAGTGACTGGGTCCCGGGAGGGGGGGCGCGGATGTGTACTCCACGGGACACAGCACGCTCCCCTTTCCCTCTTTGCTGTCCCTGCGCCCCGCTTGGGGAGGGGGAATCAAACCCACTGCGCGGCGGCTAGTGTCCATGCCCCGCGCCCGCCGGGAACGTGAAGACGGCAGAGAGCTTTCGATTCCAAACCAAAATGGCTTCCAGGAGGCCCTACCGTAGTGGGGTGCATCCCGCGCCCTTCCTTGTTTGCGCATGCGCGGGTTGCCTGGCCTCTCCGCTGCCGCCATTTTGTACGTGGCCTGTGGCGCCAGGGTAGAGGAGGGTTGGGACATGCTGCGGGGCAGCGCTGAGAGGGAGCCGGCAACGAGGGAAGAGGCTTCTGCCTCCGCCTCCTCCTC